GAAAGTCGTTTATAAATGCTCCTGAACACGTTTTTGAACAGTCACGGTAACTTTTTGAATTTGTGAAAAATCACATCACTTGACCTCGATAATTATAACACTAGACGTGCTAAATAAGCTACTCTTGTGTTGGGTAGTCCTGGAGTAACTTCGTGCGCCCAGATACTTTTTCACGACCGTGGCCCAAGCTTAAGGATTTATCGCGTTTCGCGCCTGTCTGTTGTCGGGATTCAGACCCATAGTTTCTAGCACACACTCAAAACTCAGTCGGACCGCGGTTTGTCTGTATTATTCCACACTTGGACAATTTCCTGTGTTTTTTCCTCCGTCCTCACCCACGTCCCTCCTGATTCCAGTTGATTTATTTACGTAATTGGAACTCATAGCATAGGGCCAGGGTGATGGGCCTGACCGCGCTTGGTTGCAAATGGCAAATTGAGTAGTTCAACAAAAACAAGAATAGAACGGATTTCTAACGGAGTGGTGGTTCCAAGAGAGGTGATCCGCCATTACCACGTAGAGATAAAGCAATTGGTCGGCACTAACAACGGTTGGGTCAAGGTTTTATTTTCTTATTTTTGCAGACGCAAGTTAAGGACTGGCCAGAACTCCGCGCTGATTTACAACCCCGGGCCACTCTGTTGTAGTCGTAGAATACTGTGGACGGGGAGGATGTGGGACAAAGATTTACGGCCGTCCACCAACCGCCATTGTTTGCGTGAGTGCCCTATGAAATCTGATTTAGCGGCCTTTCCAAGGAAGGAGAATCTGAGAAATACACATTTAACGCTGGCAAGACGCGTACTGCCACCTTCCCCGGATTGTCGGGATACACGTGAGCTCAGGGGCAGAGCGGTGATAAAATGAAGTGCGGTGGGTGCGCACGGTCGTATTATTAAATTTCCTGGAGTATTGTTATCGGAATTTCGCCATCTGCTTCCCTCCTGCTCCGTCCTGTCCTCCGCCGGCAGAGTTGACGGCCCATTCTGACGTTTATTGAAACATTGATACTAATGAAGATTGTATTCAGTTAGATTGCAAGAATAACTGCCCCTAAGTGGCCCCTTTCGTTTGCTAGAGCTGGGGCGAGTGTCATAGGAAAAGCAATATGTTTCCTGAGTAATATTTTATTGTTTTATGTTTACAACCCCGAAGTTTTATGGTGTCTCTTGCAGAATCGTGGCTACCGATACGGGCGTATAAATTGATTTAACCATCTCGCAACTGCTCTCTTGTTTGTTCTGTCGGTCGTTGGAGACCGGAGTCATTAATTTGTACTTAAATAATACTTATGAAGTGAACTGGGTTTAATATATCTGTGGACTTGGAACCAGGACATCTGTCTTGATTCAGTTGAACGTCTCCCTCCGACTATAGCGGAACATCTCCAGTACGTCTGAATAACCTGGTGCCGTCATATCCGGAAAGACAACATTCGACAGTGTGTATGACTGTCTTGTAGATTGAGGGAGCCGCCGTGGTGTAGCGGGTAGGAGCACGCCTGCGGATCCGAATGTCGTGGGTTCCAGTCCTGATGAAACTGGACTTTTTTTTGGTTCTTCCAAAAATGAGATAGGCTCCCCAGATCGACCCAGCCTTATATGGCTACCAATGGGAAGTAAAGTCGACCGGCGTGATGATGACCAAACCATCCACCGAGTGCCGGTTGATCTGAAAATGGTAGTCTGGTAGTCTTAGTTTTAGCTTCATAGCAAACGGGTCACCCCATCTTTGCTCCGCTCCTGTGCCAAAGAAAAACACACAGAATGTTTATCACAGTCCGATGTGGAAAGATTGACAGACTGCTGTCACAGCATATCTAGCATACACTCGCATTAAAGCATACAGTAGCCATCCGAAGTGCTAACACAAACAGTCCGACATTAGAAATGCAGTTCATCATTGATGGTAGCTGAAGTCACCAACAGATCAGCAGCTCCCCACGCGATCAATTTTAATCACATACGGGCACCACCAACATTGCGACGACAGACGCGCCATTTTCTAAATCTACAATTCACACCACCACGTTGGTGACAGTCGAAAAAACAGTTGGAAAAAATCCGCAGCTCACAGTGTCACGCCATTCATTTAACTCAGAAGCTGGGCGACAAATTTGCCTCGGCTCCAAACAGTGCCCCTGCCTAGCGTCCATTTAGACCGGAAGAAACGTTTAAGTTTAGCCCAACAGGCTCGATGAAGTGTAAAAAGGTCACTTTCTTGTACATGAATGTTTTTAAAGAAGAATAACTGCAAAATCATCATGATCAGGTGCCTTGTCGACTGCAATGGGCGATCAGCCCTCTCCACAACTTGCGATCCCTTAAGGGTATGGAAAACTAAATTCAACTGAATTAACGATAACATGTACAGTTATTTTTAGAGATAAATACACACATTGATACAGATATCATTAAGCACATCAAGGTATACGGGGAAAGAATTAATAGACTGGCAAGAAGGAGACGAAAACACATTTATATGGTGGAATAAAGAAATAAAGGAAACGATTATAGTAAAGGAAAGGGGAGCTGCGTGGTCTCGAGGCTTGGTGTCCGCCTCGAGTGCTAGAGGTTCCGGGTTCAATCCTCGATAAGGGCTGGGACGTTTTCAGACTGACTTGGACTTTAGTAATTTGCCCTGGTATCTGGATAGTGAGATCGGACCCCCGTGTGTATTGTTGCGCACGTAAAAAAATCCCTTGGCAGTTGGGAATCTAAAAGAGTAGCATAACGGCGCTGCCCGGACAAAACTTGAGTTAAACATCTATGCAAAGTATTTCAGAATCCTCGCCAGTGCTACAGCGCCTGTGCACTGTGCTGAGCTTCTTCGGACTCAGACATGAGTTAAAAAAAGAACGGAGCACTTATGGGTTACTGCTTGATGTTGGTCCGTTGTTCAAACTTCATAGAAAAGGAAAAGTACTAGACTAGAATCATCTGCTGGATGCGCCATGACGTAAGGCGAAACTTGCTGGTAACTTCATTCATTCATTCATTCATTCATTCATTCATTCATTCATTCATTCATTCATTCATTCATTCATTCATTCATTCATTCATTCATTCATTTATCCATTCATTCATCTGCCGGCTATGCCATTGTACGTCATAGGTCTAATAGTCTATTCCTCCAATCCGTTCTATCCTGTGTAATCGGCTCAGTATCATGGATGAAATCCACCCTCAGCAGCTTTAGCCTCTCTCATCAACGTTTGTTTTAGGGTTTCTTTAGGGCGTGGTATGAAAATGGAAAATAAATATATATTTAAAAAAGAACGGAGAAATAGATATATTAAAGGTTGGGGGGGGGGGGGGGGGTTGCGACAAATGCGGTTGAATGACGGGGTATACATAGGAACAGATACATTTAACGGTATAATAATACTCTCAGTAGTTAGATTGAAAGGTGAGTGGTGGGGCCCCGATGGCGTGTTATTTGGTGAGATTTTTCGACCAGTTTTCCTGCATTCGAATCGCTGGGACTCACACACTGTATCGCCAAACAAACACACAGGGAGGGGTTAGGGGAGAGAACTAAAACGCAAAATGTCACTGGTCATCCACTCCATATAGTCGTGCATCTGTCAGTTAAAGCAATGGTGCATAGCGGAGAACTGAGACCCCGAGTTCTCGTGCTAATTGGGCTCTGGCTCGCCGAGGGGATGGGATCCATCTGGTTGAATGATTTCTTAAATTGCGACAGGGCCAGCAACCCGGCAGTGGATTATATATTGCCAGGACAAATTATAAGAAGGAGAAACCAGACTGATACTTACAGAAAACAACCACAAAAGACTTTAGGAATCTAGAGAGTAAATCTTTCAGTGGAAAAATTGAGGCAGAGATAGAACTGCCAACTTTTGCGGCGTAGGCAGGGGATCTTTGAGTCTGAGGAGTTACGGTCGCATGGCTAGTGCTGTCGCCACGACTGTGCAGGTGAGGATTATATTCTGCCCCCGACAAAAAAAAAAAAAAAACACACACAAAACCCTAGCCTTACCGAGGATTCGAACCCGGGTCTCCCGCTTAAGATCCCAACGTTCTAACCGTTGAGCTGCTCATCAGATGAAGAATACAGATGCAGTAAAAGAAATCAAATTATTGGACAGGTGTCACCAGTTTTGCGGAACAAACATGTAATAATTGACACCAAAAGAGTACTATTAAAAACTTTTTTTTCCACCAACTTTATGTTACCAATGCCAAAGGTGCACATAATCGATGGAAGAAAAATCGAAACAAGAGGTGAAATGTCTACGGCGAGTCCCAAAATGTCACCAGAAGAGTCAGAAACGTCACTATAATAAAAAAAGCTGGGACGGAACCAGTACTAAATACATCACGAGAAATCAGATAAAATGGTTTGGACATGTGTCAAGAATGCCAGCAGACACTGCATCGCAGAGAGCCTTATCATTTAGGCATTTTTTAAAAACAGAACCAGAGGTCGACCACGCAAACTATGGGTAGATAGAATATCCGAGGCCGTAAATACGAGCATCTAGGTAGCACATACCAAGGCCCGTACCCGATGACTTTTCCAAACCTAATGCTAAACGGCAGACCAGGACAGGAGAAGAGGTTAACTCAGCTTACCGAAGTTCACGGCAAATGGTCACACCATAGTTGTTTGCGTTCCTGCGCCAGTGAAAAATACATAGAACGCTGTCCCATGTGGGAAAAAATGGATAATGCAGTGGTCAGAAGTGCCAACGCAACGGTTCGCCGCTAGAACTGCACTTCGTTATTGATAGATGCAGCAATTAACGACACCAGTTGCATCACTCAATCGGTCGTTGAACTTTACAGTCCTTAACATTTCACACAATGTGACATCGACAATTTGATGTTAACCTTTATGTAGAGTTCGCGAATGTTTGTTTCACTGTAAAAATGTTCATGACGATAAGTGTACCCATGAGTTCCTCTTGTCTCATTTCCTGATCTCTATGAGTGATACATGTCATAGATTCACTGGTCTTGTCTGCTTGATTCCAGAAACGGACGGAAATCCCGCGATACGACGCCACAAGGGAGAAAGGTAAGGCCAATGTCGTTTGTTTGTTCATTCATTATGTGTGCAACTTGCTGCTCTGTCTCTACCCATGTGTATGTTGTTTTATTAGACTAGTTATATTGATCTTTATATACCAGTCAGCTATTCGTTAGTTCTTCATTGTCCACCTCTCTCTCTCTCTCTCTCTCTCTCTCTCTCTCTCTCTCTCTCTCTCTCTCTCTCTCTCTCTCTTGAGCCTCCTTGGTGTATCTGCTAGACGGTAGCCTGCGGATCGGAATGTCGTGTGTTCGGGTCCTGGCGGATCCGGAATTTTCCCCCTTCAGAAATGACCTTGGCTCCCACCCTTGAGTGGGTACCGGGTATAAATTCTGGGAAGTAAAGGCAGCCGGCATGGTGCTGACACATCACCCACTTTGTGCCGATTGGTCTATAAAATACAGTTCTAACCCTATATGCCGGATGCGCCTGAATTCTCTGTCTCGCCCGCTCGTTCTCTCCCCCCCCCCTCCATAACATTCTTTAGGTATAACATACAATTCTTTTCCCGCCGTTTATCTTTCACTGGAGCATATGCCCTCAAAAAACTCCGCCAGATCTTCCTATCCTCTGCCAGGGCATGCAGCGCATCCCATGCCTTTTTTATTGTTTTTTGGTCTTCTTTATTGCTATGCCCTTTTAGGTTCGGGTGCATAAACATTCTAGTTATATTGTTCTATGATTTTCTCCACGTGTGTCCTGTCCAGTGCCAGCGTCTTTTCTTCACCTCTTGATTCACCGGAATCTGTTTAGTTCTTTCTCCAAGCTCAACATTAGTGATTCTATTATACCATGTAATTCCCTCTATATATACAGATACGGATTGTAACAGCAACGGAGAACATCTGCTTAACTTGTGTTCACAACAAGGTCTTATAATAACAAACAGTTTTTTTTTCAACATAGACGCAGTCATACCAAAACCTGATATAACTGGGACAATTTAGAGCAGGCTTCCTAAATTGACTTCATTCTATTCGGGAAGACAAAACGAAGACAATTAATAGATTCAAGAGTCCTACCAAACACAAACATTGACACTGATCATAGACCAGTTATCATAGAAAAGAATACTGAGTACAGAAAACCAAGACATAAAATAGTAACCACAGATGTTATCAACTTCCGGAGACCAGGATAATGTGGTTAAAGATGAGATTCAACAAGAAATGACAGAGCTACTAAATAACCTTCCAGACGAATATTCAGACATTGATTCAGAGTGGACATGTTTTATGACGGCTATGCTCAACACACTTCGAACCAAATGCAGAGTCAGAAGGGTAGGTGGTGTAAAACGTTTAAGAACTATTTGGTGGAACAACGAAGTTAAAGACAGCGAATCCAGAAAGAAGGAGGCATATAAAAAAATGGCTAAAATCAAAATCACATCAAGATTATGTATACAGATTAGTGAGAAGAGAAGCAAAACGCAAAATTAAAACATCTAAAGACGAGTCTTGGAGAAATTTTGGTCAACAGATGGCTACCCTCAGCAAGAACTCCCCTAGAGAATTCTATAAACATGTAAAAATCATGAGAGAAAGAGATATAGGCTACAACCCAACAACTATCATCAACAACAAAAGAGGCATACCTCTATTTAGTCCACAACAGAGGTTGGCAAGATTGGCAGAGTATTTTCAAGACGTAGATAATGTTAACTTTGTACCTCAAAGCTGCGAACAAGAGGAACCAAATTTTATAGCAGCGGAAGTAAGAGCAGTTATACAGAACAGCCCTAGAAACAAGGCACCAGGTCTGGATTGAATTAATACAAAAGGGATCTAAGCCTGCGGAGAAGTGGGTGTTAAATGGCTTACTAGAATGTTTAGTATAGCTTGGGAAGAAAGAAAGGTCCCAGCTGAGTGGCAACAGGCATTAATAGTACCGATATGGAAAAAGAAAGGTAAAAGGAGAGAATGTGAAGCATATAGAGGTAAATCACTACTGAGTCACGTAGGAGAAATGTACGCCAAATTACTAGAACATAGAGTTAGACCCATAGCAGAACAACAGCTGAGTGCATCACAATTCGGTTTCAAAAAAAGGCAGAGGATGCACAGATGCATTATTCACTCTGAGGCAAGTGTGTGAGAAGGCCATTGAGTATAATACCAAACAGAATATTGTGTTTATAGATCAGGAAAAAGCTTTTGATAGAGTGGAAAGAAACAAACTGTGGTCTGTTCTTGAGAACTACGGGGTACAAGGACAATTACTAGAGAACATCATAGTCATGTACCACACAAGCCAAAGTGCAGTAAAAACACAAGAAGGCATATCAGATATGTTTACAGTCAACACACGTGTGAGACAGGGATGTGTGCTCTCCCCACTTTTATTTAACATCTATTTAGACAGAATATCTAAAGAAGCAAGTTATGATACAGACAACATAGACCTTTATAATCACAAGGAAGTACATACATCAGGAGAAGTAATCGATTCACCCACATTAAACGAACTACTTTTTGCTGATGACCAGTGCTTGTTCTACCCTGAAGAACATAAGACTGCAAGACCACATTAACAGGTTAAACTCAGCATGTAGTAAATACAACATGAAGATCAATGTAAACAAAACCGAAACAATGCAAGTTAGTAGACATTCTGCCCCACTACACATACAACTGAATGGTTCTGCCCTGAATCAAGCTAGGGAGTTTAAATATCTAGGAAGTATGATCACAGAAGATGGTAGAATTGACAGAGAAATAGAAACCAGATGTCAGAAAGCAAGTGCACTTATATACCAATTGTCACCATTATTAAGACATTCAAGCATAACTATGAGTGCAAAGAGACAGATTATTAATAGCATATGTATTCCAACATTAAGCTACCAATGCCAAACATGGACACTATCTAAAGCCCATATACGCAAAATTACCACCTGCGAGATGAGGTGCCTGAGAAAAGCAGCCAACCTAACCATCCGAGATCGAGTGAATAATGAAACTATCAGGCAAATTGTGGGAACAACACCTTGTACTAGATTCATCGAGAAACAGCAGATCAAGTGGTTTGGCCATCTCGTTAGAATGCAGCAAGATCAAATACCATCACAAGCACTACATCTCAGAAGATCAACTACAAGAGCAAGAGGACAGCCGCGGAAAAACATGGATCGACAACATTAAAGACACTCTACGCCTTAACGGCATGACAATAGCCAGTGGCAGCCAACGTGCACTGGACCGCAAATTATTCCTCCCCACGACGCTTAACGGCAGAAGTGGTTCACAATGATGATGAATTCCCTCTTTTCAGTTAATATCTGTTTATAGTTTAATAGTAATCATGTTAGATGTTCTCCGTGTTTCCACTCCATAAAGCAGTATTGATTTGACATTAGAATTTAACATGTTAAGTTTAGTATAGTGCGGACCTGATCAGAAGAACTCGCCGGGACCCAAGAAATAGTTCTCCTTGTCAGAAATTCCTCTTTTCTGAATACGATTCAAACAAGAAAAATTGTCAGTGATCAACAAATTGTTTTTCACAACAGAAACTCGCTCCATCCGAGATCGCTTTTAGCGGTTTGCTCTGTAGAACTTTTGATTTTCATTCTTCTTCTTCTTCTTCTTCTTCTTCTTCTTCTTCTTCTTCTTCTTCTTCTTCTTCTTCTTCTTCTTCTTCTTCTTCTTCTTCTCTTCTTCTTCTTCTTCTTCTTCTTCTTCTTCTTCTTCTTCTCTTCTTCTTCTTCTTCTTCTTCTTCTTCTCTTCTTTCTTCTTCTTCTTCTTCTTCTTCTTCTTCTTCTTCTTCTTCTTCTTCTTCTTCTTCTTCTTCTTCTTCTTCTTCTTCTTCTTCTTCTTCTTCTTCTTCTTCTTCTTCTTCTTCTTCTTCTTCTTCTTCTTCTTCTTCTTCTTCTTCTTTCTTCTTCTTCTTCTTCTTCTTCTTCTTCTTCTTCTTCTTCTTCTTCTTCTTCTTCTTCTTCTTCTTCTTCTTCTTCTTCTTCTTCTTCTTCTTCTTCTTCTTCTTCTTCTTCTTCTTCTTCTTCTTTCTTTCTTCTTCTTCTTCTTCTTCTTCTTCTTCTTCTTCTTCTTCTTCTTCTTCTTCTTCTTCTTCTTCTTCTTCTTCTTCTTCTTCTTCTTCTTCTTCTCTTCTTCTTCTTCTTCTTCTCTTCTCTTCTTCTTCTTCTTCTTCTTCTTCTTCTTCTTCTTCTTCTTCTTCTTCTTCTTCTTCTTCGTCGTCTTCTTCTTCTTCTTCTTCTTCACTTCCACTTTTACCGCTGTGGGTGTCGAGGGAGATATAAGGTTCTGTTTCTAGCTCTTCTGGCTGCCTCGACCATAGGCACATCGTGCTGTTGTAGAGTTTCTCTGATGTTATCCTTCCATCTTGTTCTTGGTCTACCCCGTGCTCTACGTCCTTTTTCTCCTTCCATGTATGCTTTGTATGGTATGGTGTCACAAGGCATTCTCTCTAATTAGCAAACCATTTCACTTGCTGTCTACCATTCCATTAATTTTCATTGACTTCCATAAATTTCCCAGTGCTATGAAAACTCCTCTTGCCTTTTGTTTTCGTACTTTAATGTCTCTGTCAGTTCTCCTATGGTTTATGGTTTATATATATATATATATATATATATATATATATATATATATAATATATATATATATATATAATATATATATATATATATATATATATTACTCCCAGATAGGTGTGTCTGTTTTAAAAAAAAAAAAAAAGCAGATTACTGTTTGCCTGGCTTATTCTCATTATCTTTGTCTTTCCGTTGTGGATTTTTAGACCCAGTTGTGATCTCGCATCAAGTATGTTTAATTAATCTTGGGTCTGATTCCATGAGTGGTATAGAAGAGAAATATTACAATGATACATTTGTTCAGGCATAAAACGCCCCCCCCCCCCCCCCCCCCCGTCCTCATCCTAACAGTCTACAGCGCAGATGCAACCCAGACTGTACAGAGCACATCTACCGATTGCTACCATTCTGGCTGTTACCAGCTTTGCACTTGGG